CATAACTGAACCGTACAGTGAACAGTACATCGGTACGCTGGCAGGGGTAAAATGGTCAGATTTTGGCTAAATTGTCAAAACTTGAAAGCCCATTCTCACTTTGCCAAAACATGAAATTAAAACTTGGTCAACTGCCATAACATGCAATTTACCCAAAAAACTATAAGATAACCAGTTCCAGTCTTCCAGATATAAAGGGGAAAGCTACAGGAAAGAGGAAAGATATGACCCACCAAAGACAAAAGTATCAAGGCTTTTGTTTTTCATAAACTCATAAATCAATAGCTGCTCTTTTCCTTCGACGCAAACTCCCAAAGCCCGGACTAAGTTTCTGTGTTGGAGTTTTGATATCAGGACTATTTCATTCATGAACTCTTGTTTGCCCTGCCCAGAGCTGCTAGAAAGGCATTTTACCGCAATTTCTCTTCCATCTTGCAGTTTTCCCTGAAACAAGTTGCAGATGTCATCTCGAGAAAAGGCAGAAAAAGAAAAGAGCAAAGAGAATAAAAAGTTTCTCGCCTTGTAAACGGAACCAAAGCCACCATGTCTGAGTTTGTTTGATAGACTAAAATTCTTGGTGGCAGTTTGTATAGTATCCATCTCAAAAAATTCTAAACCAGGGACGTCTTGTGATTGCAGATCATTCCTCCATGCACCGTTTGATATATGAGCTGGGTTAAAATTTGTGTGTCAGTGCCAAGTGAGTATATTCAGAGTTTTTAAAACAAGCTAAAATTTGGGTTAGAATTTGTGTGTCAGTACCAAAAAGAACATTGTATATATAAGTCCGTCAATTTAGTGTAGGTTTGATGTAGTGGAAAAACGCCTTTTTATTTCACGATATTTCGTAACAAATGTAACAGAGCAATTTTGTTGACAACCAAATAAATAGATTAACAGTGAGAGATTGTTCGATAGTAAAGTCATCAATGTGTTACCATTATGTTCCACTCTGCATCTCCAGAAACCAAACGCAGCGAAGCCCAAGATCACAAATAGGATAAGGCTCACTGTACTAGCAACAATGGTCTTCTTCCGCTTATTTACATCTGAGGAATTTAGCACAAGATAAACAATAAGTCATGCTTCTATCGAAAGCATCAATATCAATGCAGTAGAAGATATAATTGCAAAAGATAAAGAAGGTCCTTGAATTCTATTCTAAGTCATACCTAGCTCAGAACGTGCAAGACGAATGGAAAGAAGTTCTCCTCCTGCAGAAAATTGCATTGTGTCCATTAGGTCCGTGCTCCACATTAAGCACCCTATTCCAGGAATATAAGCAAAGGCCAAGCAAGAACAATTGTGGAGGCATTCTTCAGCATTCTGAGAATTTGCATATTCGTAAAAGTCTGGAGGCTTTATGTTGGGAACAGTATGGAAGACGTTTGCATCTTTGCCAGTAGAGTTTCCTTGACAATGTAGTTCGGTACGCCTCGCACAACCACTAGTCCAGTTTCCTCTTTTCCACTCCTCAATCGATTTAGGAACAAAACCTTTGAAGCATTTAAACTTTGGAGGATCTGAGATAACACAAAACCCAAAAGGTCCACATACACCGTATATATCACATGAATTGGCTGGACCCTCGTAGCTTGATTCCCAGTCCATTACATTATGCTGTAACACCTTCATTGATCCTTCTGATGTTAAAATCATGCACTACAAACGTAGGTTGTTTCGGCTGAGGAAGATCTGATGTTGTGGTAAGCATAGACAGCAACTCAAGTGTGTTTGGTCTGTCTGCAGGGTGGTATTGAACACAAAGCAAACCAATCTGGACACACCTTCCAACTTCAGATGGGTGACAAGATTCAGCAAGAGCTTGGTCCAAAAAATTAACTCCTCGGGTTTCACACCAACATTCCCATGCCTGTTTTTTAGTTTCAGATCTTAAGAATATCAAAGCAACAAACCTTTTGCATTTGCAACCTCTGCAAATGCATGAAAACATAAGAAAATCTTACTTACATATGCAAGAAGTGCTTTTCCTTCCTCACCATAGCTGAACCTTGAGATATTCTCTCCGCTGATGATTTCTAACAGTAGAACTCCGAAGCTATAAATGTCTGATTTCTCGGAGAATACTCCAGTCCATGCATACTCAGGAGACATATTGTTGGTGTTGTGAAGACCGAGTTTTAGAAGCTGCTGAGATCTTTGTTTCAAGGTTGAGAGAGAGTTTGGAGATCATCAAAGTAATAATTGAAGTTAATGATGTGTGAAGCTTGGATTATAAAACTCACTAAGAAAGGGAGAGATTGTTGATGTATTCTTAATAAGTTTTATATCAAGATGAAGAGAAACAGAAAGCGGCATTTATAGAAGGCAAATAATAAAGATGAAGCTGTTGAAGCAGTCGTTGTACTAGTTCAGAGTACTTCAAGAAGTAGTTCAGGGGAACAGAGCAACGTGAAGCGAGCATATGGAAATTGGTAAAGTCGGTCTATGGCGGTTGGCTGTGGATACTAGAAGCTTGGAGAAGATTCTAGAAGACTGAAGAGTTTCTTTTTCATAGGAGGAAAAGGAAACATGAAGAGAAAGGACAATTTCCTAATCCTTAAAGAAAAAGGAAATTGTCTATTCCTATTAGTGTTAGAATAGGAAATCGGCTTGTTGTATAGCCACGACCTATTTAGTATAAATAGGGTGCTTAGGCTTTAGAAAAGGGGAGCACATGAGAGAAAGAGAATTCTTAGACATTAAGGTTATGTGGTTTCTTGTGAGAAAGCATAATGCTTAAGGGGACTAAGGGATTTGTCTTGAGAGAGTTCTTGATCGGGTTGTGATCTAAGAACGAGAGATTGAGAGAATAGAAAATAGTCTAAGGAAGACCTTGTAAACGTATTTTCTATTAATCAAAAGAGTTTTAAGAAGAAATCCTTGTCTCAGCTTGTGACTCAGTTCCTGACTCAGTTTCTGTCTTAAATCGTGAGCTAGTTCTCAAGTACTTAATAGCTCTTGCACTTTCACATATATCCTCTGTTCAAAGGTCAAACAGTTTCACCCAGTTTAATATATGATTATCAATCTAGTTTAATACGTTATCAAAGAATGGTTCTTACAGAGCTCCGACAACCCTGCGAGTTTTGTCCTGATATTGGGTTCCCTCAAACATCCGAGCCAACCCAAAATCTGATATTTTCGGGTTCATTTTCTCGTCCAGAAGAATGTTGCTGACCTTCAGGTCTCGGTGAATAACTCTGAGGCGAGAGTCACGGTGGAGATAGAGAAGTCCACGTGCAATACCTTGAATGATGTCAAATCTCTTTGGCCAATCCATCTCGAGCCTTTTTCTTGAATCTAAGCAATAATACCATGTCAAAACTATAAGATAACCAGTTCCAGATATAAAGGGGAAAGCTACAGGAAAGAGGAAAGATGTGACCCACCAAAGACAAAAGTATCAAGGCTTTTGTTTTTCATAAACTCATAAATCAATAGCTGCTCTTTCCCTTCGACGCAAACTCCCAAAACCCGGACTAAGTTTCTGTGTTGGAGTTTTGATATCAGGACTGTTTCATTCATGAACTCCTGTTTGCCCTGCCCAGAGCTGCTAGAAAGGCGCTTTACCGCAATTTCTCTTCCATCTTGCAGTTTTCCCTGAAACAAGTTGCAAATGTAATCTCGAGAAAAGATAGAAAAGAAAAAGAGTGAAGAGGATAAAACGTTTCTCGCCTTGTAAACGGAACCAAATCCACCATGTCCAAGTTTGTTCGATAGACTGAAATCATTGGTGGCAGTTTGTATGGTATTCATCTCAAAGAATTCTAAACCTGGGACGTCTTGTGATTGCAGATCATTCCTCCATGCATCTCAAGAAGTCAATCCTCGCTTCTCACCAGTGACGAGATTATACATCATAGTTGACGTAGGGAGCAGAGTATTACCAAGATGCTCAAAGCTTTGCCATAGAGTCCTTCCCGAGGCTTTGTCTATGAAAACAAGATTTCCATAGTCTGTAAGCTCTGCACGAGACCCATTAGATGCAAAAATATCTCCGGTAGACCACACAACGCCATGTTTGCCATTAGATAACAGAAGACTTCCATTGCTGCTGATACCGAAATTTGCAGTGGAGTCGGTAACAGGCTTTTCTCTATTTGCCACCCAGACAACCACCCGAGGAATGATACCCTTGAACCAGATTCCGACATACTGATTTCGTGAGTTATTAGGACTGAAGAACCCCAATTCATAAACACCATTAGAGGAGCTGGGAGTTTGTCCAAATGACAAAGGACTCGCTTTGGTTATCCCTGCAAAGCTTAAACTTATAAAGATGGTGCATAAGAGCAAATAAGCAAAGAACACGATCCTCTTCTTCCCCATGTGGTTTTTTCCCTCTCCAAAAAACTAGATCTTCTTCAGACTAAGAAAGCCAAAAAAAAAAAAAACTCAGGGACTGAAATTTCTTGGTGTTCCCATGTTCTTGCCGCCAGCTCTTAGTATCCAGAATCTGGGAATGATAAACATCAACACTCTTGCATCATCTGAAAGATGAGTAAATCAGAGGAAGACGATCTGTTACTGGATTCATTGGAACAGCTTTCTTGAATTGGAGACTACGTTAAATTTCGTTCAGGCATTTTAACGAACACTTGTAATGCATTAATCAGAATACTTTCAGAGCTCCACTAATGCCCCATTTCAATCTCCAGCCATCTGGGCGTAACTGGTTTTCTCCAAAATAGCCGAAGAATTCAACAGTCAATCAACATTGGTGTGCCAGTTTCACCGGAGAGAAGACGACTTCAACAGTCATTTCTACGACTACAATTTCGAACACAAGTTTTCTCCAAAAGCCGAATTCAAACCAAAACCGGACCAAAAAAACTACAAACCGAACCAAACTGATTCCGAATCGGTTCGTATTTCCGAATATTGAAAGATCCAAAATATGAATGCACATTAGGTCTCACTGGGCCGATTTTATTTTAAAAGCCCATCAGGCCCAGTATAACCTTATCTTCCCTCTAACTCAACGGTTTTGATTTTGAATTTGAAAACAAGCGTAAGCAAGAGAGCTGAGAGAGAGCGCTTTGGAGATGGAGGATTCAGGTGCGATTCTATGTCAGATCTCCATTTTCAAGGACATGCTTGATCAGGTTTCCCTCTTCTTCTTCCTCTTCACTGGTTTGGTTTCTCGTCTTTAGCTTAATTTGATTTGAGCTGTGATCGAATGAAACAGGTCAATCGGGAAATCGAAGCGAACATTCAGGTGTCGCGAGAGATCGAATCAGAGATCGGAGCGTGTTCTGATATGGGATCGACTCTATCCGTTAAAGAAGCTGAGCTTACTAGATCGTTCCTTGCTTCTCAGTTCGAGATCAGCGGTTTGATCTCCGTTACAGGTTACTGAATTTGAGTTGCTTTTGGTTTCTAAAATTCCCTAATGATTTTGTGTTCTTAAAATTCACATTCGAATGTTAAATTTCTATCACTATGTTTTGTTTTCTTAAAAGCCGATTCAAGAAACTCTCTGAAGCTATTGGAGGATGAGATTCATCGCCTGAGAAGTGACCACAGTGAGCTAATTACAAGGCTAACCGAAAAGCGGTAATCATTGATTGCGTTTTAAACAAGAATGTTTATTCTAGAGTCTTAGATCAAGAAAGCATTGATTGTGGAATTTTGTATCCAGGGCAGGGTTTGTGAATATGTGTTTTCGATTCCAGAAGGAGATTGAGGATAGTGAATCAAGGAATTTATTGTCGGAGAGGGAGTTTCTGGAAAACGAAGTTTGGATTATGGAGATGAAGAACATTGATGTGAAGAACTCGATTTTGGCTTACATGGAAGATGAAATGATGAATCTATTATCTGAACTTTAGCCATTGGATTGGAATGTAAGTACTACTACTGCTGATAACTTGATCTTTAGCCATGGCCAATTCTTACTCTACTGTTAATAATGGGTGCACCAAAAACTATTTTACAAAAAGAATTAAAGGTGAAGTTATCAACATTCAAAAGTTGATCCTTTCGACAACAATTAAACACACATCAATTCTAAAGTTCCAAACAAACATCGTTTCTCAACGCCCTAAGATCACAGACTTTGTCATCTCATTCACAGTGATCAAATCCTTAGACGATGATCCGTCATCTCTCGTGTGCACTACAAATGTGGGTTGTTTTGGTGATGGAAGATCTGATGTTGTGGTGAGCATAGACAACAACTCAATTGTGTTGGGTCTATCAGCAGGTTGGTGTTGAACACAGAGCAAACCAATCTGAACACATCTCTCAACTTCTAATGGGTGACATGAATCAGCCACATCTTTATCCAAAAGATCAACTCCTCCAGTTTCACACCAAGATTCCCACGCCTGTTGTTCAGTTTCAGATCTTAAGAATATAAAAGCAAGAAACGTTTTGACACATTTGCAACTGTATGAATACCTAAAAAGGTACTTACATATGCAATAAGGTTTTTTTCTTCTTTGCCATAGCTGAACCTTGAGATCTTCTCCCCGCTAATGATTTCTAACATTAGAACTCCGAAGCTATAGATGTCGGACTTTTCAGAGAACATCCCAGTCCATGCATACTCAGGAGCCATATATCCTCTGTGCAAACATCAAATAGTTTCACACAAAGTTTAATAAACGATTTATGAGTATGAATCTTGTTAACCATGTTTTTGAAAATAGTCTTACAGAGTTCCTACAACCCTGAGAGTGTTGTCCTGATATTCGGTTCCCTGATACATCCGAGCTAATCCAAAATCTGATATCTTTGGATTCATCTTCTCGTCCAGAAGAATATTGCTGACCTTCAGATCTCTGTGAATTACCTTGAGGCGTGAGTCACGATGGAGATAGTGAATTCCACGCGCAATACCTTGAAGGATATCAAATCTCTTTGGCCAGTCAATCTCAATCCTTTTTGTTGAATCTAAGCAACAATACAGTGTATATACAATCAGATAAGAAAGATCCATGTAGAGAAAAAGCTGCTAATAGTAAGGAACGAAGCAAGAAAGGACCCACCAAAGAGAAAAGTATCAAGGCTTTTGTTCAACATGAACTCATAAATCAATAGCTTCTCTTCTCCTTCAATGCAACATCCCAAAATCCGAACTAAGTTTTTATGTTGTAGTTTTGAGATGAGTACTATTTCATTCATGAACTCCTCTTTGCCCTGCCCCGAGCTGCTAGAAAGCCTTTTCACAGCAATTTCTTTCCCATCTTGCAGCTTTCCCTGAAACAGATTGCTGAAAGTCATCTTGAGAACATATACGGAAAATATAAAAAATCAAAAAAATTAAAAATTATCCGACCTTATAGACCGAACCAAATCCACCTTGTCCGAGTTTATTTGAGAGACTGAAATTATTGGTGGCAGTTTCAATGGTGTTCATCTCAAAACAATATAAACCTGAGACATCTTGTGGTTCCAAATTTTTCCTCCGTGCATCTTGTGGAGCTAATAAAGTTCAGGAATAGATAGAGAGATAATAATAAGGCCATCAATATGTATTAAAAAAAAAACAGGAGACAGATATAGAGATAGTACGATCAACAGAGCGTTACCATTACGTTTTACTCTGTATTTCCAGAAACCAAACGCAGTAGAACTCAATAATAGAAAAAGGGAAAGGCTGACAATACTAGCAGTAATGGTCTTTTTGCGCTTATTCCCACCTGAGATATATAAGAAAAATAAGCCATGTTGCTACCAGAAAGAAGTGGCTCTTTCGTGATATCTTTTAAGCCTTACCTAGTTCAGAACGTGCAAGGCGAATGGAAAGAATCTCTCCTCCTGCAGAAAACTGCACTGTGTCCACGAAGTCTTGGTTCCACATTAAGCACCCAATTCCATGAATATAAGAAAAGGCCAGGCAAGAACAATTGTGGAGGCAACTTTTATAGCATCCTTCAGCATCTACCGCACTTGCAAATTCGTAAAAGTCTGGAGGCTTTATGTTGGCAACTGGATGGAAGATGTTTGCATCTTTTTCAGTTGAGTTTTCCTGACAATGTAGTTCGGTACGCCTCACACAACCACCAGTCCAGTTTCCTCTTTTCCACTCCTCGATAAGTTTAGGAACAAACCCTTTGAAACACTTGCATTTTGGAGGAGCGGACTTCACACATAACCCAAAAGGTCCACATGCACCGTAATAATCACATGAGTGCGCTGGAGCCACAAAGTTCAATACCCAGTCAGTCCCACTATGCCGAGAAATCTCCAGTGAGCCCTTAGATGTTATCACTATACGTGGAAGTTTGAAGTTTCTGTTTAAATAAGTGAGGGATCCTGACCCGTTTGCATCTTGCTGAAGGCTTAATGGATTTGTAAATGAATCATCCATTAGTGGTACCCCGGTGAACCTTGTTTTTGCCCATGGACCGCTTCTCCAATAAGGCCTCGAGTCTCTCATAGTTAACGCTTGTGTTGGCACTTGTGGTGTAATCTGAACCACAAAGTCGCCAAGCGATGGATCAGTGTAACTTTTCCAAGAAGTCAACACCTGCTTCTCGCCAGTGGCGAGGTTATACTTCAGGGTTGAGAAAGGGAGCATAGTATCACCAAGATGGTCAAAGCTTTGCCATAGAGTTCTTCCTGAAAAATTGTCTATGACAATAAGATTTCCAGTGTCTGAAAGCTCTGCACGAGACCCGTTAGAAGCAAGAGCTTCTCCACTGGACCATGCAACGCCATGTTTGCCGTTAAATAACAGAAGACTTCCATTGCTGCTGATAGCGAGATTTGCCGTGGAATCTGTAACAGGCTTTTCTCTATTGGCCACCCACACAACCACCAGGGGAATGATACCCTTGAACCAGATTCCGACATACTGATTGTGGGAGTTATTAGGACTGAAGAACCCCAGTTCATAAACACCATTAGAAGAGCTGAGAGTTTGTCCTATTGACAAGGGACTCTCTTTCGTTATCCCTGCAAAGCTAAAACTTATGAAGATGGTAAATAAGAGCAAATAAGCAAAGAACATGATCTTCTTCTTCCCCATATTTTTTCCTTCTCTCCGATATCTATCTGTTTTTGGATTAGTGTATGAAGCAAGAAAGCCGGAAAAAAAAAAAAAAACACTGAGAGAGTTGTGTGAACTAGTTTTACTTATGTTCCAAAAATTATGCATTATTTAATAAATACAGAATAAATTTGTCAATGCATACATGATACATTGACACGAAGAAGTCTTTACCGAATCAGATACGCAACGTTGTCTTTGTTCAAGTCCTTATTAGCTTGTTAGGCCGAGAACCTATAACTTTCTTTAACTGCAGACTATGAATTATCTCGTTTAGGCATTTTCTCGAACACTTGCAGTGCATAACAAAAAGTTCGGAGACCCTAATCGACTGATTCCAACTCCGACCCTCTGGGCTTAACTGTTTTTATCCAAAATAGTTGAAGAATCCAAAAGTCAAGATTGATAAAAAGTTGCTTGACTTGTGTCGTAAAGGCCACGAGGCCAGAGAAGAACCTTCCGGGAAGACTTAAAAGAAAAGTCGAGTCAGTCAACCTTTTGTTTGTCTTTCGTGTATTTCGGGATGGGAAATTATACATTATAGCCTTTATAGGGATGGAAAAAATATTTAGAGTTTCTTTTTTTTTTTTTTGTCGTCTAGAGTTTTATATTATACATCGTAGAAACATACAAAGTTGAAGAACATAAGTTCTCGGAGTCAAAAGCCGGTAGAAAACAAGTATTCCCCAGAGACAAAGCCCTATGAAAGGGAGACAGTAAACGTAGTACAACTTAACCCAGAAAAGCTATAGCCAAAATATGAAACTACAACGTCTTTAAACAATCCTAACTTGCTTGAAAGAAACTCAAGGATCAAACTAACAAGGAACTAATAGAAAGAGGAAATCTAGCAGAAAATTCCAAAAGAAAATAAGATACTAAGGGGGGAAGAACTGAATCTCTCACTTAACTCTCGTCCCAGGAACCTTTACACTTAACGCGCGACGTGGCGAAGCCATGAGTGCAATCCAATCAACCCGAAACTTCTGCAAGAGCCTCAACCACGAGATCCCAAAGCTTGAAGGAAAAGTAATCACTTCGATGACCCGCTTCTCAAACCCAAATCTAAATTACGCAGAGGAGATAACCATGTAGAATCTGCGAAATTACCTAACAGGGAAACACCAACCACTTCGAGGAGGGCAGCCACTAGAAGAACGACTCCCTGTAATTTTTGCCTCAAAGAAAACAATCGAACCAGCTCTGGAGCGCTTCCACGAGCAAGAGAAGAGAAGAACAGCCGAATAATCACAATTCACACCACAAACGAAAGCAAGCCAAAGATCGAGAAAAAAAAAAAAAAACCCCAACTAAGGCCAAAGAAAGCCTAATCGGGAACTTGGAAGAAACAACATGGGGTTTATTGCATAATAGGCCCATGAAACTTCTAGTTTTTTCGAACAAAGTATTTAAGTACAAACTAATTGAAAAACAAAAAGATAAAGGAGCAGCTCACAAAGCATCATTAAGTCCACGTGTCACCAGTTTCATTCACCTCAGGTAAGCGCTGCAAGATGACCACCACGTGTACTCATCTTGACCGTATGACGATGATAGCCGGAGCGGAGATGAGCTCTTCGAAACATCGCCGGAACGATCATGAAAGCCACCGGAAGCCCAGAGAAAGCCGCCTAAGACGTACCACGAACATGAACTCCACTTTGTTCACTAAACGGACAAAGCCGAAGCACCCAATCAATCCAACAACTTTGCTTTACCTAACTCCTAAATCAAAAGATCCCTTCGTCTCAGATCCGATGATTCTAAGCTAATCCTATCCACCAGAAGATGGTGAATCTTAATCTCTAATCCATCGGAAACAAAAACAAAATTAGAAGAACAGAAGATAGATTTCTCATCTCTCATGAGCCTCTGTCAAAACAGAGAAGAGCTAAGGTAATCCACTTCCCATCAACAAACATCGCCAACAAAGGCGACGACAAAGCCAGACATCACCGGAAGCAAAAGCCGGAACTCACCGGAAACCAAAGCCGGAACACACCGGAAGCAAAGATCGAAAGAGTTTTCTCTCCCTCTGAAGAATTTTAGAGAGAGAAGAGAGAGAGAAAAACTCTTTTTGGATAAATATTTAGGGTTTCAATACTGGCTAATTTATTTAATGTTTTTATTTTTCTATTTAATATTTATTTGAATTTACTATTTGAATTTTATACAGAGAGTTAAAGTGAACTTCTACCCATTGAATTTGTTTTTTTTCGAGCCGTACGAGGCCAAAACCTCTTATACGTTTCTAAGGGGGTATTATTCATAGTGGAAAAGTGGAAACATGTAAAATAATGACCATAAGGTGTCACTGGGCCGATTTTAGATAGAAGCCCACACGGCCCAGTAAATAATCTCTTCTCGGAACTTCCGAATTTTGAAAAGAAGCGGAAGCAAGAGTGAGAGCGAGAGCGAGAGAGAGAGATTTTGGAGATGGAGGATTCTGGTGCGATCACCTCTTCTTCTTCACTGGTTTTTGTTTCTCTTCTTTAGCTTAATTTGAGCTGTGATCGTATGAAACTGATAAAGGAAACAAAGTATTGAGTTTATTGATAACGATAAATGGATACAACGTTCGCAAGTAACGCAGCACCACTTCTCATCAGCAAGAGTTCATGATGAAACTCCGGCGACGATGAGGAACAATTCTCAGAGAGAATCCAAAAGAAACGATAAACAACAAAATCCAGAATTTTCTTATTATTCTCTGCAAATGATCTTCATTTGCTATATATCTCTGCTTCTCGATTCTTCCTCTAACAACTTCCATCGACCAATCTTCTCTTGCCACGTCTCATAGCTACTGTCTCCACTCATCTACTGCCACGTGTCTCTATCATATATCAATGCCTTGTTTCCTATATCAGAAACAGGTCAGTCGGCTCTCTCTATCAAAGAAGCTGAGCTAACTAGATCGTTCCTTGCTTTTCACTTCGAGATCAGTGGTTTGATCTCCGTTACAGGTTTCTGAATTTTTCCTAATGATTTGTTAAAATTTACATTCGAATGCTAAAATTTTGATCACTATGTCTTGTTTCCTTAAAAGCTGATTCAAGAAACTCTCTGAAGCTATTGGATGATGAGATTTGTCGCTCGAGAAGTGAGCACAGTGAGCTAATTACTAGGCTAACCGAGAAGCGGTAATCATCGATTGCGTTGTTCAATTACTTTATCCGCTTTGTGTAGTTGATTTTGTCTAAACTACAACACAAATTAATGAGCATGGATTTTGTAACATGGAAGGGTTTGTGAAGATGATAAGCTTAGGTAAGTCTACGTGACACGTACGAGTGAGGAGACACGTGAGAAGGAAGATTAAAATGATGAAGAAGATATTTTAGTGTGGAAAGTATCTGCAACAAACTCGTTCTTAGATAAATACAGTCTCTCATTGTTTAGAGATCTTTTATGTTGAATGTTGTAAGATTTCTCCTGCGTGAGATCTAAGGGTAGTGAGCTAGAGAAGATGATGCTCTAGTCTCTGCTTTGTATGACATTCATCGTTAAGCAATCAGAGAATACGTATTCAGTGCTTAACAGAAGATGTGTTTTCGATTCCAGAAGGAGATTGGTGTTGGTGAAGACAATGAATTGGGAAGTTTATTGTTGAAAAGGGAGTTTTTCAAAAACGAAGTTCGGATGTTGGAGGAGAAGAACTTAGGTGTGAAGAACTCAATTTTGGCTTACATGGAGTATGAAATGAGGAATCTATTATCTGAATAGTTTCTGGAATATGATGAAAATGTTAGCCGTGGATTGCAATGTAAGTACTACCACTAGTCACTTGATCTTTAACCAAAAAAGAAGAAAAGTTATTTTGGCTCATGTTAAGAACGTCGCAAGATTGGTTCGAGTCTCTGAACCGTCTGAACAAGTCGGATTAATCGACATGACCATTGTTGCAGATGAAACTTGAGTAACTTCATTAGATGTTTTCTTCCACTGAATTGTGCTGGTTATTACTTATTAGGAACTTCTTTATTTGTTGGTTTGTGATTTTCTTTTTTATCATCAACGTTCAAAAGTTGATTCCTTTCGTGAACAATCAAACATATCGATTTTACAGTTTTCTTCACATAATTCCTCACCGCCCTAGGATCACAGACTCTGTCATCTCATTGACAGTGTTCAAACTCTTAGACGGTGATTCGTCATCTATCGTGTGCAATACAAATGTAGGTTGTTTTGGTGATGGAAGTTCTGATGTTGTGGTGAGCATAGACAGCAACTCAAGTGTGTTTGGTCTGTCTGCAGGTCGGTGTTGGACACAGAGAAGACCAATCTGCACACATCTCTCAACTTCTAATGGGCGACATGAATCAGCAACATCTTGGTCCAAAAGATCAACTCCTCCAGTTCCAGACCAAGATTCCCATGCCTGTTGTTCAATTTCAGATCTTAAGAATATAAAGGCAAGAAACGCTTTGAGACATTTGCAAATGAGTGAAAATCTAAAGTCTAACTTACATATGCAATAAGGTTTTTTCCTTCTTCGCCATAGCTGAATCTTGAGATCTTCTCTCCGCTGATAATTTCTAATAGCAGAACTCCAAAGCTGTAGATGTCGGACTTCTCAGAGAACATCCCAGTCCATGCATACTCGGGAGCCATATATCCTCTGTGCAAATATTAAAAAGTTTCACCCAAGTTTGATATATGATTATGACTATAATTTTGCTAAGCATGTTTTTGAAAATAGATTCTTACAGAGTTCCTGCAATCCTACGAGTGTTGTCCTGATATTCGGTTCCCTGATACATCCGAGCCAGTCCAAAATCTGATATTTTTGGGTTCATCTTCTCATCCAGAAGAATATTGCTAACCTTAAGATCACGGTGAATGACCCTGAGGCATGAGTCGCGGTGGAGATAGTGAAGTCCACGCGCAATACCTTGAATTATATCAAATCTCTTTGGCCAGTCAATCTCAAGCCTTTTTCTTGAATCTAAGCAACAATATAGCATATAAAAAATCAGATAAGACACTTCCATGTAGAGAAAAAGTTGCTGATAGTAAAGGAATGAGGCAAGAAGGAACCCACCGAAGAGAAAAGTATCAAGGCTTTTGTTCAACATGAACTCATATATCAACAGCCTCTCTTCTCCTTCAATACAACATCCCAAAATCCGAACTAAGTTTTTATGTTGTAGTTTTGAGATGAGTACTATTTCATTCATGAACTCCTCTTTGCCCTGGCCCGAGCTGCTAGAAAGCCGCTTTACAGCAATTTCTTTCCCATCTTGCAAATTTCCCTGAACAGATTCAAGAAATTCATCTCGAGAACATAAAGTATAATACAAAAGAACAAAGAAAATTAAATATTCTCCGACCTTGTAAACTGAGCCGAATCCACCTTGTCCTAGTTTATTTGAGAAACTGAAATGATTTGTGGCAGTTTGAATGGTATTCATCTCAAAGAACTTTAAACCTGAGACATCTTGTGGCTCCAGATCATTTTTCCATGCCTCTTTTGAAGCAATCTTTGATGTCTTAGCTGAAACTAGACTTTCTATAATAGATAATACGGTCATCAGTGTGTTAACATTAGCAAGAAAATAAATAAAATAATAAACATGAAATCGATAGAAAGATAGTAAGATCATCGGTGTGTACCGTTATGTTTCACTCTGTATCTCCAGAAACAAAACGCAGCAAAAGCCAGTATCACAAAAAGAGAGAGGCTCACAATACTAGCAACAATGATTTTGTTGCGCTTATTTCCAGCTGAGATATTTAAGACGAAAAAAAAAGTAAAAAACATAGCCATGATTCTACTAAAGATAACAGTACCAATGGAGTGGAAGATAAAGCTGTAATGACGAAGTAGCTCTTTCGTGTTATGTTTTAAGCTGTACCTAGTTCAGAACTTGCAAGGCGAATGTAGAGAATTTCTCCTCCTGCAGAAAATTGCACTGCGTCCATTAGGTCTTGATTCCACATTAAGCACCCTATTCCATTGATATAAGAAAAGGCCAAGCAAGAACAATTGTGGAGGCAAATTTGGTAGCATCCTTCAGCATCCACAAAACTTGCAAATTCGTAAAAGTCTGGAGGCTTTATGTTGGCGATATGATAGAAATCGTTTACATTTTTGCCAGTAGAGTTTCCTTGACAATGTAGTTCAGTACGCCTCACACAACCATCAGTCCAATTTCCTCTTTTCCACTCCTCAATGGATTTTGGTACAAACCCTTTGAAGCATTTACACTTTGAAGGTACTGACTTATTAACACAAACTCCAAAAGGTCCACATAAGCCGTAAATATCGCATGAATTTTCTGGAGCCTCAAAGTTTAATTCCCAGTCCCTTCCATTATGCTGAAAAATCTTCAGTGAACCCTCTGATGTTATCATTATATGAGAAAGTTTGAAGTTTCTTTCAAAATAAGTGAAGGATCCTGACCCGTTTGCATCTTGCTGAAGGCTGAATGGACTTGTATATGTGTCATCCATTACCGGTATCCCTGTGAACCTTGTTTTAGCCCATGGACCGCTTCTCCAATAAGTCGTCGAGCCTCTCATAGTACACGCCTGAGATGGCACTTGCGGTGTAATCTGAAACGTAAAGTCACCAGGCGATGGATCAGTGTGACTTTTCCAAGAAGTCAACACCCGCTTCTCACCGGTGGCAAGATTATACATCATGGTTGAGAAAGGTAGCATAGTATCACCAAAATGCTCAAAGCTTTCCCATAGAGTTCTTCCCAAAGCATTGTCTATGACAACTAAATTTCCGTTGTCTGTAAGCTCTGCGCGAGACCCGTTAGATGCAAAAGTTTCTCCAATGGACCATACAACGGTATGTTTTTCATTAAATAACAGAAGACTCCCACTGCTGCTGATAGTCAGATTTGCCGTGGAACTTGTAACAGGCTTTTCTCTATTTGCCACCCACACAACCACCCGAGGAATGATACCCTTGAACCAGATTCCAACATACTGATTTTGGGAGTTATTAGGACTGAAGAACCCCAATTCATAAACTCCATTAGATGAGCTGAGAGTTTGGCCTATTGATAAAGGAGTTTCAGCCGTTATCCCTGCATAGCTAAAACTTAAAAAGATGGTAAAGAAGAGCAACGAAGCAAAGAACATGATCCTCTTCTTCCCCATGTGTATCTACAAGAGCTAACTTCTTTGGATCAATTTAAGAAACAAACATGCTAACAAGAGAAAGTAAACGAAGTCACGAACTTGTAAAAACTATATTCTCTAAAACAATGTTGACCACACCACACTTAAGTTCCAAAATTCTGCATTACTTTAATATAGTAATACAAAATAAATCTAATACTTATGTAATTGCCAGGAAAAAGTCCAACGTTTTTACCCAATCTGTTTCTCCCATAGCAACATTGTCATTTTCATGTTCTTGTCAAAAGATAAGCATATATACACTTGAATCAATCCAATGGTCAGTCTGACTTTAAGAATCAAACAATTTACCCAATCAATCACGCATCGACTGACCTTACATTTAAAATATTGTGTTGTTAATGTCCTCGCCAGCTCTTCGAGTAGCCAGTGAAAGATACATCAATGTTGATTAATCAGATCTTTCTTAGACAATAATCAAGCAGTGATGACTCATCTAAAGACTGCTTTAAGCACCTCTAAACAAAGTTCACTAGTTGGACCCAAAGAATTGAATCCTTAGAGTCAACCTAAGCTTGAAACACTGTGTCAACCTCATAAAAAGAAAAAAAAAATGACTTTCTTTTTCTGGTAAATAGACTGCAGATTTGAAGCTTTCATTTCGTTTAGGCATTTCACTGAACACTTAGCGTGCGTGATCCAAACGTCCGAAGGCATTCCTTTCAAATCCTTGTTAAATTTTTGAATCCAGACAGAAATACTGAGACCATTAAGTTGCTGATTTCGAAAGACAATTTGTAATGTTTTTCTAACACTTTTAGGTCTGAAACAAAAGAGCAATAAAATGGTTTCTTTAAAAAAAGGTTAAAGAACGAAATCAATTTTGAAGATCCCAACATTGATAAGTTGACTTCTTAACATCAAGTACAATTTCCAATACACGTGGTTTCTTAACGCCCAAGGATCATAGATTGTGTAATTTCATTGACGGAAATCAAATCCTTAGACAGAGATTTATCATCTGTAGAGTGCACTGCAAATGTGGGTTGTTTTGGTAATGGAAGATCTGATGTTGTGGTGAGCATAGACAACAACTCAAGTGTGTTTGGTCTGTCTGCGGGTTGGTGTTGTACACAGAGCAGACCAATCTGGACGCACCTTCCAACTTCAGATGTGTGACAAGAATCAGCAAGATCTTGGTCCAAAAGATCAATTCCTTTGGTTTCACACCAAGATTCCCATACCTGTTGTTTAGACGTTTAGTTCCATATCTCAAGAGTATCAAAGCAAGAACCACTTTTGAAATCCTCTGCAAATGTATGAAAACCTTAAGAATTAACTTACATATGCAAGAAGTGTTATTCCTTCTTCGCCACAGCTGAACCTCGAGATCTTCTCCCCGCTGATGATTTCTAGTAGTAGAACTCCGAAGCTATAGATGTCTGATTTCTCAGAGAATACTCCAGTCCAAGCATACTCAGGAGACATATATCCTCTGTTCAAATATCAAATGGTATTTATCATATCACCCAGTTTAATATTTGACTAATATGAGAATGAATCTTATCAAGCATGTTATTAAAGACAGGTTCTTACAGAGTTCCTACAACCCTGCGAGTTTTGTCCTGATATTGGGTTCCCTGATACATCCGAGCCAATCCAAAATCTGATATTTTCGGGTTCATTTTCTCATCCAGAAGAATGTTGCTGACCTTCAGGTCTCGGTGAATTACCTTGAGGCGTGAGTCACGGTGAAGATATAGAAGTCCACGCGCAATACCTTGAATGATATCAAATCTCTTTGGCCAATCAAGCTCGAGCTTTTTTCTTGCATCTAAGCAATAATACCATATACAAGCTATCAGATAAGAAATTCCGGTATAGACAGAAAAAGCTGCAAATAAAAAAGAAAGACGCAAGAAGTGACCCACCAAAGACAAAAGTATCAAGGCTTTTGTTCAACATAAACTCATAAACCAATAGCTTCTCTTCTCCTTCGATGCAACATCCCAAAACCCGGACTAAGTTTCTGTGTTGGAGTTTTGAGATGAGTACTATCTCATTCATGAACTCCTCCTTGCCCTGTCCAGAGCTGCTAGAAAGCCGTTTTACTGCTACTTCTTTTCCATCTTGCAGTTTTCCCTGAAACAAGTTTCAAATGTCACCTCAAGAAAATAGAAAAAAAAAAAGAGAATAAGAAGTTTCTGACCTTGTAAACTGAACCAAATCCACCTTGTCCGAGTTTGTTTGATAGACTGAAATTATTGGTGGCAGTTAGTATGGTATTCATCTCAAAAAATTCTAAACCTGGGACCTCCTTTGATTTCAGATCATTCCTCCATGCATCCTTTGACATAGAAGCTGAATATTGAGTTAGAACTCGTGTGTTAGGTCATAATATCTTCAGAAATTTTGAAGCAAAAAGAACATATACTAGTTCAAAGAACATAGAGTGCGTCGATTTAGTGTATGTTTGACGTAGTGGGAAAAACTCCTCTTTTTCCAATTTAAGTTTACATTAATTTGTAACAAATGTTGCAGGCCCTACGATCGTTTTGATGGCAAGCAAAGAAATAAACAAACAACAAGACCACAACAGAGAGATACTAAGTTAATCAGTGTGTACCATTATGTTTCACTCTGTATCTCCAGAAACCAAACGCAGCAGAAACCAGTATCACAAAAAGAGAAAGGCTCACAATACTAGCAACAATGATTTTGTTGCGCTTATTTCCACCTGAGATATTTAAGATAAATTAAACAATAAACCATATCGCTATCAAAGAGAACAATGTCAATAGAGTGGAATACAAAGTTATAATTAACAGAGTAGATCTTCCATGTTATCTTTTAAGCCGTACCTAGTTCAGAGTGTGCGAGACGAATGGACAGAATTTCTCCTCCAGCAGAAAATTGCACTGCGTCCATTAGGTCCTGGTTCCACATTAAGCACCCTATTCCATGGATATAAGCATAGGCCAAGCAAGAACAATTGTGGAGGCAATTTTGGCGGCATTCTTCAGCATCTACAGAACTTTCATATTCGTATAAGTCTGGAAGCTTTATGTTGGCAACATGATGGAAGATATTTACATCTTTGCCAGTAGAGTTTCCTTGACAATGTAGTTCCGTACGCCTCACACAACCACCAGTCCAGTTTCCCCTTTTCCACTCCTCAATGGATTTCGGTACAAACCCTTTGAAGCATTTACACTTTAAAGGTACTGACACTACACACAACCCAAATGGTCCACATACACCGTAAATATCGCATGAATTGGCTGGAGCCTCGTAGTTTAATTCCCAGTCCGTTCCATTATGCCGAAACCTCTTCATTGACCCTTCTGATGTTAAAATTATACGTGAACGTTTGAAACTTCTATCAAAATAAGTAAACAATCCTGACCCGTTTGCATCTTGCTGAAGGCTGAATGGACTTGCATATGTGTCATCCATTAGTGGTATCCCCGTGAACCGTGTTTTAGCCCATGGACCAGTTCTATAATACGGCGTTGATCCTCTCATAATAAGCACCTGTGATGGGACTTGTCTTGTAATCTGACCCACAAATTTGCCAGGCGATGGATCGGTGGAACCTTTCCAAGAAGTCAACACCCGCTTCTCACCGGTGGCGAGATTATACATCAGGGCTGAGAAAGGGAGCATAGTATCACCGAGATGCTCAAAGCTTTGCCATAAAGTTCTTCCAGAAACATTGTCTATGACAACTAAATTTCCGTTGTCTGTAAGCTCTGCACGAGACCCATTAGATGCAAAACTTTCTCCAGTGGACCACACAACGCCATGTCTTCCATTAAATAACAGAAGAATTCCATTGCTGCTGATAGCGAGCTTTGACGTGGTGTCTGTAATAGGTTTTTCTCTGTTTGCGACCCACACAACGACCTGGGGAATGACACCCTTAAACCAGATCCCGACATACTGATTCTGAGAGTTATTAGGACTGAAGAACCCTAGTTCATAAACACCATTAGAGGAGCTGAGAGTTTGTCCTACTGACAAAGGACTTTTTGGTGTTATCCCTGCATAGCTAAAACTTAACAGGATGGTAAACAATAGTAAACAAGCAAAGAACGTTTTCCTCCTCTTCTTCCCCATGTGTCTCCAAGAACTATCTTCTTTAAAGAAACAAACTATTCTATAGTAAACAAGAAGGTAATTAAGTCACGATAACAAAGTCAGGTGCTTGTGAGGACTATAATCAAGCACCTAAAAACAATGCTGACCACACCGCCGTTATGTTCCAAAATTCTGCATTACTTCATCCACAATCAACTTATACTTATATGATAATAATATAAATTGTCATAGCCAGTTTTCCACGGAGAAGTCTTATTAGCTTTTAACCCAAACAACCATTCAAGTTGACCTTAGAACCAATGAAAGATAGACATCTATACTCTGCGATGAGAGAAAATGAATCTATCAGATTTTTCAACATTAAGAAGTGAAGTGAGAAAGAAAACCAGAAAAAGCAAAAACTCAGGACTTGTGGGACCTGTAAGCACTGTTGACCACAAGAGATGAGCATAAAGGTCTGCAATATAGAGAGTTTTCACATATTGACTGATTCAAAGCTGCAATTTCTCTTCAAAAAACAGTCTAGGTTTCCGACTTAGCATTTTGAGTAATTTCCACGAAACTTTACTAAACCTTATCTAATGATACCAAATAAATTTCAATAATTTCCAAGAAGTCTAACCTTTTACCCAATCAACATTTGACCTCGCATTGCAACATTTTTCATGTCCTTGTTAGGCCAGAACCAGTGAATGTTAGACATCTATACCCTGCATTAGTCAAAAGATGAGAATTTTTAGCCTGGCTTGAAGAATCCAATCGATTGACTTCAGATTGAAATATTGTGTTGTTTCCATGTCCTTGCCAGGTCTTGGAGTCCAGAACCAAATCTACACACCCTGCAACAATTGAAAGATGAATATATGATTCGTCATCTGTCGTTTGAAATGCAAATGTGGGTTGTTTCGGATGATGAGAATATTAATCAACAAGATATTTCTCAATGTTTTCTGAAGTAGTAAGTTAAAACACAGTTTAAGATGTTAACTAGATTCACCGGAAGAAGTTTTTGTACTGCAGACTACGGTAAATCTCGTTCAAGCATTTTATCGAACACGTCCAGTGCATGATCAAAACATTCAGAGCATCGCTAAATTCGTTGGACACTAATTCCCCAAATCGAGACCAATACTACACATGGAACTATGGAAGTTTGGCTGATTCCAACTCCCATCCATAATCTGGGCTTAAGTGCTTCTGCCACAAATCTAACATTGGTTTCACCAGCGAGAGCATAAATTGTGAGACGACAGACGTTAGACCCGGTGAAATAAGTTGACGTATTCATCGATTCTCTACAAGATAGTGATATGTCCCATTAACAATGTTTAAGTTATTAACACTGAAGAATGAACCCTTTAAAGGGAATATTTATGACACCCTACAATTGTACAATTTCCATCACACAAGGTTTCTTAACGCGCAAGGATCAAAGATTGTGTCATCGCATTGACGGTACTCAAATCCTTAGACGATGATCCGTCATCTCTCGTGTGCAGAGAAAATGTGGGTTGTTTTGGTGATGGAAGATCTGATGTTGTGGTAAGCATGGACAGCAACTCATGTGTGTTGGGTCTATTGGCAGGTTGGTGTTGAACACACAGTAGACCAATCTGAACACATCTCCCAACTTCTAACGGGCGGCATGAATCAGCAAGATCTTGGTCCAGTAGATCAATTCCTCCTTTTTCAGACCAAGCGAGTGTAATGAGCAAGAAACAACGGATAGTGAAATCTCTGCACTTGTTGGGCAATCAAATACTAGATTCTAGTGTGTCAATAGCTAATGTCTTACTTACATATGCAAGAAGGGTTTTTCCGTCTTCGCCATAGATGAATCTTGAGATCTTCTCTCCGCTGATGATTTCTAACAGCAAAACTCCGAAGCTGTAGATGTCTAATTTCTCAGAGAATACACCAGTCCATGCATACTCAGTAGACATATATCCGCTGCACATATATCAAATTTGTTATGACTACAACTATGAATCCTAGTTAATCATGTTTTTAGAAGACAGATTCTTACAGCGTTCCAACAACCCTGTGAGTGTTGTCCTGATATTGGGTTCCCTGATACATCCGAGCCAATCCAAAATCTGATATTTTTGGGTTCATTTTCTCGTCCAGAAGAATGTTGCTGACCTTCAGGTCCCGGTGAATTACCCTGAGACGTGAATCACGGTGAAGATAGAGAAGTCCACGAGCAATACCTTGAATGATATCAAATCTTTTTGACCAATCAATCTCGTGCCTTTTACTTGAATCTAAGCAATAATAAATTTTTTGCTAATTTCGAAAGACAATTTATAATGTTTTTCTAACACTTTTAAGTCTGAAACAAAAGAGCAATAAAATGGTTTCTTTAAAAAAAGGTTAAAGAACGAAATCAATTTTGAAGATCCCAACATTGATAAGTTGACTTCTTAACATCAAGTACAATTTCCAATACACGTGGTTTCTTAACGCCCAAGGATCATAGATTGTGTAATTTCATTGACGGAAATCAAATCCTTAGACAGAGATTTATCATCTGTAGAATGCACTGCAAATGTGGGTTGTTTTGGTAATGGAAGATCTGATGTTGTGGTGAGCATAGACAACAACTCAAGTGTGTTTGGTCTGCCTGCGGGTTGGTGTTGTACACAGAGCAGACCAATCTGGACGCACCTTCCAACTTCAGATGTGTGACAAGAATCAGCAAGATCTTGGTCCAAAAGATCAATTCCTTTGGTTTCACACCAAGATTCCCATGCCTGTTGTTTAGACGTTTAGTTTCATATCTTAAGAGTATCAGAGCAAGAACCACTTTGAAATCCTCTGCAAATGTATGAAAACCTTAAGAATTAACTTACATATGCAAGAAGTGTTTTTCCATCTTCGCCGTAGCTGAACCTCGAGATCTTCTCTCCGCTGATGATTTCTAGCAGTAGAACTCCGAAGCTATAGATGTCTGATTTCTCAGAGAATAATCCAGTCCATGCATACTCAGGAGACATATATCCTCTGTTCAAATATCAAATAGTATTTATCATATCACCCAGTTTAATATTTGACTAATATAAGAATGAATCTTGTCAATCATGTTATTAAAGACAGGTTCTTACAGAGTTCCTACAACCCTTCGAGTTTTGTCCTGATATTGGGTTCCCTGGTAGATCCGAGCCAATCCGAAATCTGATATTTTTGGGATCATATTCTCGTCCAGAAGAATGTTGCTGACCTTCAGGTCTCGGTGAATAACTCTGAGGCGTGAGTCACGGTGGAGATAGAGAAGTCCACGTGCAATACCTTGAATGATCTCAATTCTTTTTGGCCAATCAATCTCCAGTCTTTTTCTTGAATCTAAGACATAAAAATTATCAGACAAAAAGTTCCACATAAATAAAAAGTTGCTGATACGAAAAGAAGAATGTAAAAAGGAACCAACCAAAGACAAAAGTATCAAGGCTTTTGTTCACCATAAACTCATAAATCAATAGCTTCTCTTCTCCTTCGACGCAGCATCCCAAAACCCGGACTAAATTTCTGTGTTGAAGTTTTGAGATGAGTACTATTTCATTCATGAACTCCTCTTTGCCCTGTCCAGAGCTGCGAGAAAGCCGTTTTACCGCAATTTCTTTTCCATCTTGCAGTTTTCCCTGAAACAAGGTTCAAATGTGTAATCTCAAGAAAATAGAGAAACGAAAAAAGAGAAAAGAGAGAAAAAAAAGTTACTTACCTTGTAAACGGAACCAAATCCACCATGTCCGAGTTTGTTTGATATACTGAAACTATTGGTGGCAGTGTGTATGGTGTTCATCTCAAAAAACACTAAACCTGGGACATCTTGTGATTTCAGATCATTCCTCCAGGCATCCTTTGATATATGAGCTGAAATTTGAGTTAGAACGCGTGTGTTAGTTCTTAACATCTTCTAATCTAGCCAAGGGAGCATATTCAGATCTTTTGAAGCAAGCCAAAACCAAGGTACAAAAAAAGAACATGTACTGGCCTAAAGAACATAAATAACTGCGTTGATTTAGGGTAGGTTTGACGTAGTGGAAAAACTCTTCTTTTCTAACAAATTTAGCAGACCCACGTCGCTTTGTTGGCAAGAAAATGAATAAACAAACGACAAGAAACCGATAGACAGATCATAAGCGTTTACCATTATTTTTCACTCTGTATCTCCAGAAACCAAACGCAGCAGAAGAAGCCAATATCACACAAAGAGAAAGGCTCACAATACTAGCAACAACGATTTTGTTGCGCTCATTTCCAGCTGAGATATTTAGGAAAAAAATAAATTAAACAATGAGCCATACTGCTACAAAGAGAACACTATCAATGGAGTTGAAAACAAAGTTATAATGACGAAGTAGAATTTTCTTGTTATCTTTTAAGTTGTACCTAGTTCAGAGCGTGCAAGACGAATGGAAAGAATTTCTCCTCCTGTAGAAAATTGCACTGCATCCATTAGCTCTTGGTTCCACATTAAGCACCCTATTCCAGGAATATAAGCGAAGGCCATACAAGAACAATTGTGGAGGCAAATTTCATAGCATTCTTCCGCATCTAGAGAATTTGCGTATTCGTAAAAGTCTGGAGGCTTTATGTTGGGAACAGTATGGAAGACGTTTGCATCTTTGCTACTAGAGTTTCCTTGACAATGTAGTTCGGTACGCCTCACACAACCACCAGTCCAGTTTCCTTTTTTCCACTCCTCAGTGGATTTAGGAACAAAACCTTTGAAGCATTTACACTTCGGAGGAACTGAGATAGCACAAAAACCATAAAGTCCACATACACCGTAAATCTCACATGAATTGGCTGGACCCTCGTAGGTTGATTCCCAGTCCATTCCATTATACCGTAACACCTTCATTGATCCCTCTGATGTTAAAATCATGCGTGCAAGTTTGTAGTCTCTTTCAACATATGAAAAGTATCCTGACCCATTTATATCCTGTTGTAAGCTGTATGGACTTGTGTATGATTCATCCATTTGCGGTGACCCGGTGAACCTTGTTTTAGCCCATGGACCGGTTCTAAAATAAAGAACCGAGCCTCTCATAATAATCCCCTGTGATGGCACTTGCGGTGTAATCTGACCCACAAATTCGCCAGGCGATGGATCGGTGTAACTTTTCCAAGAAGTCAATCCTCGCTTCTCACCAGTGATGAGATTATACATCATAGTTGACGTAGGGAGCAGAGTATTACCAAGATTCTCAAAGCTTTGCCATCGAGTCCTTCCCGAAACTTTGTCTATGAGAACAAGATTTCCATTGTCTGTAAGCTCTGCACGAGACCCATTAGATGCGAAAACATCTCCGGTAGACCACACAACGCCATGTTTGCCATTAGATAACAGAAGACTTCCATTGCTGCTGATACCGAGATTTGCCGCGGAGTCTGTAACAGGCTTTTCTCTATTAGCCACCCACACAACCACCTGGGGAATGATACCCTTGAACCAGATTCCGACATACTGATTCTGGGAATTATTAGGACTGAAGAACCCCAATTCATAAATACCATTAGAGGAGCTGAGAGTTTGTCCTATTGACAAAGGACTCTCTTTTATTATCTCTGCATAGCTAAAACTTAAAAGGATGGTAATCAAGAGCATACAAGCAAAGAACATGATTCTCTTTTTCCTTATGTGTCTCCAAGAACTATCTTCTTGAGATTAATTTAAGTAACAAACTTTTCTTAAGTTAGCAAGAAAGTATGGCACGAAAACAAAGTCAAGGGACTTGTGAGGACTATAATCAAGCACCTATAAACAACGCTGACCACACTATGTCACAAAATTCTGCATGACTTCATTCACAATCACAATCAACTTAAACCTTATCTGATAATAATATTAATTGTAACACTTATGTTACCACGGAGAAGTCTAACCTTTTAACTAACCAATCATGCAAATTGACCCCAGAACCAATGAAAGATAGACATCTTCCCTCTGCGGTCAATCAAATGATGAGAATAAGAATCAATTAGATTTGAACAAGAGAAAGTAAGCCAAGAAAAATTAACTCAGGGACTTGTGGGAATTATTTTCTGGGACCTATAAGCAATGTGACCACAAAAGATGAGCATAAGGTCAGCAATATAGAGTCTTGAGTCTTGACATATAGACTGATTCAAAGCTGACTCTGCAAAAATTGCAATTTATACAGTCCATGGAAATAGCTCAAAATGTCAAGTGGGGCACCTAGACGAGAACGCAAACGTTTCTTTTTCATGGGGTTTCAGAAACAAACCATTGACCTCACATAGCAACATTGCCATTTATGTTACCGTGTTAGGCCAAGAACAAGTGAAATAGACATCTATACTCTGCATCAATCAAAAGATGAGAATTTTCACAGACGTCAACTACGCATTGATTGACCTCAGATTGCAATATCCTTGAGTCATTGCCTACGAAAAGTCAGATGTTGAGGATATTAATCAAACAAATCTTTCTTATTGGTTTTACGCTTAAAGCATAGTTTAAATGTTGACTAGATTCACGGGAACAACGGTTTAAATTTCTTTCAAGCATTTCATCGAACACTTACAGTGCATAATTAAAACGTCCAGTGCTTCGCTAATGTCGTTGGACACTAACGCCCCAAATCGATTCCAACTCCCACAATCTGGTTCGATCGTGCTTCTCCACCAAATTTAACACTGGTGTCACATTGGAACCGATTGAAGAAACCCCAGAAGAGAGGATGGGTCGAGAACCAGTGAATTAGGTTGCCTTCAATCTCCTCCAAGTTTGTGAGAGCATCGCCTCAAAATGTTGTAAGAACCTAACCTTTTTATTTGGATATTTCCCATTAAACAATGCTGGAGAAGTTATTAACACTGAAAAATGAACTCTTTAAAGAGAACAATTTTTTGTTTTAACACACTACAAGGTTTCTTAACGCCCAAGGATCACAGATTGTGTTATCTCATTGACGGTGATCAAATCGTTAGACGGTGATTCGTCATCTATCGTGTGCAATACAAATGTAGGTTGTTTTGGTGATGGAAGATCTGATGTTGTGGTGAGCATAGACAGCAACTCAAGTGTGTTTGGTCTATCCGCAGGATTGTGTTGTACACAAAGCAGACCAATCCGAACACATCTTACTACTTCTACTGGGCGGCATGAAGATCAATTCCTCCGTTTCCAGACCAAGATTCCCACGCCTGTTTCAGTTTCAGAAACGTTTAAACGGATAGTGAAATCTCTGCACTTGATGGGGAATCAAATACAAGTTTATAGAAAAGTTCTACTTACATATGCAAGAAGGGTTTTCCGTCTTTGCCAAAGCTGAATCTTGAGATCTTTTTGCCGCTGATGATTTCTAACAGCAGAACTCCAAAGCTATAGATATCGGATTTCCCAGTCCATACATACTCTGGAGACATATATCCTCTGCACATATATCAAATATTTTCTACCAAGTTAATATCTAGTTATAACTATGAATCTTAGTTATATCATGTTTTTTGAAGATAGATTCTTACAAAGTTCCTACAACCCTGCGAATGTTGTCCTGATATTCGGTTCCTTGATACATCCGAGCTAATCCAAAATCTGATATCTTTGGATTCATCTTCTCGTCCAAAAGAATATTGCTAACCTTAAGATCACGGTGAATGACCCTGAGGCATGAGTCACGGTGGAGATAGTGAAGTCTTCACGCAATACCTTTAATGATATAAAATCTCTTTGCCCAATCAAGCTCGAGCCTTTTTCTTGAATCTAAGCAATAAAACCGTGTAAACATTATCAGATATGAAGTTCCACATAGAGAGAAAAATATTCTAAATCGAGAGGGAAATAGGCAAGAAGAGATCAACGAAACACAAAAGTATCAAGGCTTTTGTTCAGCATGAATTCATAAATCAATAGCTTCTCTTCTCCTTTGACGCAGCATCCCAAAACCCGGACTAAGTTTCTGTGTTGAAGTTTTGAGATGAGTACTAAGTTTCATTCATGAACTCCTCTTTGCCTTGTCTTGAGCTGCTAGAAAGCCGTTTTACCGCAATTTCTTTTCCATCTTGTAGTTTTCCCTGAAACAAGTTGCAAATGTAATCTCAAGAAAATAGAGACAAGAGAATAACAAAGAGGATAAAAAGTTCCTCACCTTGTAAACAGGACCAAATCCACCTTGTCCAAGTTTGTTTGATAGACTGAAATTATTAGTGGCAGTTTGTATTGTAGTCATCTCAAAAAATTCTAAACCTGGGACCTCCTTTGATTTCAGATCATTCCTCCAGGCATCCTTTGATATATAAGCTGAAAATTTGAGTTAGAACTCGTGCGTTAGTGCTTAACATCTAGTTTATCTAGCAAAGTGTGGCAAAACCAAGGTACCACAAGAATATATGCTGGTTTAAAAAGCATAACTGAGTGCATCTTTTTTTTCTATTGTAGTTTTCGATAATTTGTAACAGAGGTAGCAGACCCTATGATTAATTTGCTTGCAAGTAAAAGAATAAACAAACAACAAGAAACAATGGATAGATAGTAAGTCATCAATGTGTACCATTATGTTTCATTCTGTATCTCCAGAAACCAAAAGCAGCAGAAGCCAATATCACACAAAGAGAAAGGCTCCCAATAGAAGCTATGGTTTTTTTGCGCTGATAACCACCTGAGGTATTTGAGACAGAAACAAATTAAACAATAACACATGTAGCTACTGAAAAGAACAATATATATGGAGATTTAGATAAAGATGTAAAAGACGAAGTAGATTTTTTGTGTTATCTTTTAATCCGTACCTAGTTCAGAACGTGCAAGACGAATGGAAAGAGGCTCTCCTCCCATAGAAAATTTCACTGTGTCTATAAGGTCCTGGTTCCACACTAAGCACCCTATTCCATGAATATAAGCAAAGGCCAAGCACGAACAATTATGGAGGCAACTTTGATAAGATTCTCCAGCATTAGCACTTGTCAATTCGTAAAAGTCTGGAGGTTTTATGTTGGCAACATGATGGAAGATGTTTACATCTTTGCTAGTAGAGTTCCCTTGACAATGTAGTTCGGTACGCCTCATACAACCATTAGTCCAATTTCCTCTTTCCCCCTCCTCAGTGGATTTAGGAACAAACCTTTGAAGCATTTACACTTTGGAGGAACTGACATAACACATAACCCAAAAGGTCCACATTTACCGTAAGAAAAACATGAAATGACTGGACCGTCGAATTTTAATTCCCAGTCGGTCCCATTATGCCAAGCAAGCTTCAGCGAGCCCTCTCATGTTATCAGTATACGTGAAATTTTTCTTTCAAGATAAGTGAAGGCTCCTGGCCCATTTGCATCCTGCTGAAGGCTGAATGGACTTGCATATGTGTCATCCATTAGCGGTATTCCGGCGCACCTGGATTTAGCCCATGGACCGCTTCTCCAATAACGTGTTGACCCTCTCATCGTACAGAGTTGTGATGGCATTTGCGTTGTAATCTGAACCATTAAGTAACTTTTCCAAGAAGTCAACACCCGCTTCACACTGGTGGCGAGATTATACATCAGGGGTGAGAAAGGGAGCACTGTATCAGTTAGATGCGCAAAGCTTTCCCATAGAGTTCTTCCCAAAACTTTGTCTATGACAATAAGATTTCCAGTGTCTGAAAGCTCTGCACGAGATCCGTTAGAAGCAAGAGTTTCTCCAGTGGACCACACAACGCCATGTTTGCCATTAAATAACAGAAGACTTCCATTGCTGCTGATAGCGAGATTTGCCGTGGAGTCTCTAACAGGTTTTTCTCTATTGGCCACCCACACAACCACCAGGGGAATGATACCCTTGAACCAGATTCCAACATACTGATTTTGGGAGTTATTAGGAATGAAGAACCCCAATTCATAAACTCCATTAGAGGAGCTGAGAGTTTGTCCTACTGACAAAGGAGTATCTGTCGTTATCCCTGCATAGCTATAACTTAATAGGATGGTAAAGAAGAGAGTTAGAGAGAATAAGGAAAGAACACGATCCTATTCTTTCCCATGTATCTCCAAGAACTATCTTCTTCAGATTAAGTAACTAAACAAATTATTCTTTAGCTAACAAGAAAGTAAGTCATGAAAATAAAGAGTCAGGGGTTTGTGAGGACTATAATCAAGCACCTAAAATATTACTTATGTTTGCCAGTTTTCCACGGAGAAGTCTAACCTTTTAACCCCATCAACAATTCAAGTTGATCTTAGAACCAATGAAAGGTAGACATCTATACTCTGCGATGAGATGTTGACCACAGGAGATGAGCATAAGGTCTGAAATATAGAGTCTTCACATATTGACTGATTCAAAGCTGCAATTTCTCTGCAAAAACTAACTCAAACTACCAAATGGGGCATGTAGAGTACCTTTCAGTATCAATACTTATGTAATTACCACGAAGAAGTCCAACCTTTTACCCAATAAACATTTGACCTCACAGCAACATTTTTCTTGTTCCTCGTTAGCTTGTTGGGCCAGAACCAATGAAAGCTAGGCATCTATACTCTGTATTAATCAAAGGATAGGAATTTTCAGCCTGACTTGAAGAATCCAAAGATTGACGTCAGATTGAAATATTGTGTTCCTTCCATGTCATTGCAACAAAGAACTTTATGCAAGAAATCATACTTTATCTATATATCCATTTACTGAGTCTTGACCGGTTTTCTGGTTAGAGCATATGATTTGTAGAAAAATCATATATATCTGCCATGGCATTTCCTTACTTAGTCAAACTTAACTCCTTACTCCTTAGGAGTTATAATTGAAAGGTTTACACTTGTTGATTGTCATTTACCTAAGACATTGAGCAGCAATATAGTCTGAAGCAGACACTAACCGGAAAAATCGCAAAGCTGGTAAGAGTACCAGAAGTTAATTTTGAATTTTTTTTCCTGCAATGGAAGACAATGAAGGGAATGGTTAGAGCAAATTTCTCATTAGTTTCAGGTGATACAAATCAAACACAAAAGAAGTAGAAGCGTTTAGAGTCGTCACACTAAGGAATAAGAGAACACAATGTTGCAGACCCGATCGATAAAACATGAGCTGCACGCATCTCTTCCAGTTCAAGAACCACTATTCCCACTACCTTAAATGGTTGAAACAATACATTAATGAGAGAAACCTATTGAAATAATCAGTTTACTTTGCAACCATGATCGTTTGGTAGGAGCTTAAGAATACCTTCTCAATTTTGTCAGAGATGTCACTTAATCAACACCAATAAACAATTGAATGGATGAAAACAACGCAGTAATTCCCATTGGCATTTACATTTTGAAGTTACCAACATTGAAAAGTTGACTACTTTACTGTTCAAACAACACACTTCAATTGTACAATTTCCATCACATATTGTTTCTTAACGCGCAAGGATCAAAGATTGTGTCATCTCATTGACGGTACTCAAATCCCTAAACTGGGGTTCGTCATCTCTCGCGTGCAATGCAAATGTGGGTTGTTTTGGTGATGGAAGATCTGATGTTGTGGTGAGCATAGACAGCAACTCAAGTGTGTTTGGTCTATCTGCAGGATTGTGTTGTACACAAAGCAGACCAATCTGAACACATCTCCCAACTTCTAATGGGTGACATGAATCAGCAACATCTTTATTCAAAAGATCAATTCCTCCATTTTCAGACCAAGATTCCCACGCCTGTTGTAGTTTCAGAACAAGCAAATGTAAGAGCAAGAAAAGTTTTCAAACGGACAGCAAGATCTATGCACTTGATGGGAATCAAATACAAGATTCTAGTGTGCGTTAACGCCTAAAATCTTACTTACATATGCAAGAAGGGTTTTTCCGTCTTCGCCATAGCTGAATCTTGAGATCTTCTTTCCGCTGATGATTTCTAACAGCAGAACTCCGAAGCTGTAGATGTCCGATTTCTCAGAGAACATCCCAGTCCATGCATACTCTGGAGACATATATCCTCTGCACATATATCAAATAGTTTCTCCCAAGTTAATATCTAGCTGTAGCTTTGAATCCTAGTTAATCATAGATAGATTCTTACAGAGTTCCTACAACCCTGCGAGTGTTGTCTTGATATTCGGTTCCTTGATACATCCGAGCCAATCCAAAATCTGATATTTTTGGGTTCATTTTTTCATCCAGAAGAATATTGCTGACCTTCAGGTCTCTGTGAATTACCCTGAGGCGTGAGTCACGGTGGAGATAGAGAAGTCCACGTGCAATACCTTGAATGATATCAAATCTTTTTGGCCAATCAATCTCCAGCCTTTTTCTTGAATCTACACAATAAAACAGTATAGAAACTTTCAGATAAGACAGTATAAAAGCTGCTAATAGAAAGGGAAATAGGCAAGAAGGAACCCACCAAAGATAAAAGTATCAAGGCTCTTGTTCACCATAAACTCATAAATCAATAGCCGTTCGTCTCCTTCAATGCAACATCCCAAAACCCGAACCAAGTTTCTGTGTTGGAGTTTTGAGATGAGTAGTATTTCATTCTTGAACTCCTCTTTTCCCTGTCCGGAGCTGCTAGAAAGCCGTTTTACTGCAATTTCTTTCCCATCTTGCAGCTTTCCCTGAAAACAGATTGTAGAAGGTCATCTCGGGAGCATAATGAAACAGCGAATATAAAAGAGCAAAGTGGAATAAATTCTCTGACCTTATAAACTGAACCAAATCCACCTTGTCCGAGTTTGTTTGATAAACTGAAATTATTTGTGGCGTTTTGAATGGTATTCATATCAAAGAAATCTAAACCTGGGACATCTTGTGGTTTCAGATCATTCCTCCAAGCATCCTTTGATATATGAGCTGAAATTCAAGTTATATCGTGTCTTAGCATATTAAGATTTTTTGATAAATGCCGAAATCAATGTACCAAAAGAACATAGTCGTTTAAAGAACATGTATGAGTGCGTCGATTTGGTGGAAAACTCCCTTTTATTCTATTTTAGTAACACATGTAATAGAACCTACGACCTTCTTTTTGTTTTGCAAGCAAATGAATTGAAGAACAACAATGTGTTAGATAGTAAAGTCATCAATGTGTTACCGTTATGTTCCACTCTGCATCTCCAGACACCAAACGCAGTGAAGCCCAAGATCACAAATAGGGTCAGGCTCACTGTACTAGCAACAATGGTCTTCTTGCGCTTATTTCCATCTGAGAAATGTAAGACAACAAATTAAACTATAAGTCATGCTCCTATTGAAAGAAAAAAATCAAAGAAGGTCTTTTATTTTAACTTCTAAGCCATATATACCTAGCTCAGAACGTGCAAGACGAATGGAAAGAAGTTCTCCTGTTGCAGAAAATTGCACTGCGTCCATTAGGTCCTGGTTCCACACTAGACACCCTATTCCCTTAATATAAGCAAATGCCAAGCAAGAACAATTGTGGAGGCAACGTTGGTGGCATTCTTCAGCATTCACAGAACTTGCAAATTCATAAAAGTCTGGAGGCTTTATGTTGGCAATTGGATGAAAGACGTCTGTATCTTTGCCAGTAGAGTTTACTAGAACAATCTAGTACGGTACGCCTCACACAAGCACCAGTCCAGTTTCCCATTTTCCACTCCTCAATGGATTTTGGTACAAACCCTTTAAAGCATTTACACTTTGGAGGAACTGACATGACACACAATCCAAATGGTCCACACGCACCATAAAAATCGCATGAATTTTTTGGAGCCTCATAGTATAGTTCCCAGCCCATTCCATTATCCCGAAACATCTTTACTGATCCCTCTGATGTTAAAGTTATACGTGAAAGTTTGTAGTTTTTTTGAAAATAAGTCAAGTATCCTGACCCGTTTACATCCTGGTGAAGGGTGAATGGACCCGTGTACGATTCATCCATAAACGGTATCCCAGTGAACCTTGTTTTAGCCCATGGACCGCTTCTCCAATAAGGCGTCGAGCCTCTCATAATAAACCCCTGTGATGGAACTTGTGGTGTAATCTGGCCCAGAAAGTCGCCAGGTGATGGATCGGTGTAACTTTTCCATGAATTCAACACCTGCTTCTCAGCGGTGGCGAGGTTATATGTCAGGGATGCGGTATGTAACAGAGTATCACCTAGATGCTCAAAGCTTTGCCACATAAATCTTCCCGAAACAATATCTATGACAACTAGATTTTCGCTGTCTAAAAGCTCTGCACGACACCTGCTAGAAGCAAAAGATACTCCACTTGACCACACAATGCCATGTTTGCCATTAAATAACAGAAGACTTCCATTGCTGCTTATAGCTAGATTTGCCGTGGAGTCTGTAATGGGCTTCTCTCTATTGGCCACCCACACAACGACCCGAGGTATGGTATCCTTGAACCAGACTCCAACATACTGGTCTTGTGTGTTATTAGGACTGAAGAACCCCAATTCATAAACCTCATTAGCGGAGCTGAGAGTTTGTCCCATTGACAAAGGACTCTCTGTCGTTATAACTGCATAACTTGAACTAGAGAGCATGGTAAACAAGAGCATGGTAAAGAGGTGCAAACAAGCAAACCTCGTCATCCCGTGTGCTCCTTATGTCTCCAAGAACAATCTTCTTCAGATTAGTGTAATAAGAGAACATGTATGCAAGGAAAAGTAATCCACGAAAACAAACTCAAGTACTTAATAGACAATTATCTTCTAAACAACGTTGACCACACGCCCATCTTCCAAGATTCTGCATTACTTTATTCACAACCAACTTAAACCTTGTTTATAAAACAAAATGAACTTTAATACAAGTTGAAGTCAATGAATTGAATCTTAAAAATTCCAACTTTCTACTGAATAAACCATGCAACAACGGTTGGCCTCATATTGAAACATTGTGTCACTTTCATGTCCTTGCTACAACCAATTACAGATAGTCATCAACACTATGAACCAATCAAAATATGAGAATTTGTAGCTCTTACGTTTCATAGTCTGAACCAAGAACTCCAACCTTTTACCCATTCAACCACGCACAATTGACCACAATCAGTTCGAGGTAGACGTGTTCACTCTGAAATCAATTAAAAAGATGGAACTGGGATTCGTCATCTCTCGTGCAAGAACTCAAATATGGACCAAAGACCATTTAAAAAAGAAACAACTGGAGAGTTTATTAGTTTGACCTATACAACCTTTTATATATGCGACATTCTCTGTTCTATCTGATCTGCAAGCGACAATTACAGACTACTTATATCTCCTGATATTAAAATAGCGTAGCTTTGAAGCCTTGCAATTTCGTTCAGGCATTTCACCGAACACTTACGGTGCGTAATCCAAACGTTGAAGAGCACAGGTCAATGACTTGCTAATGTCGCCGGGCTTAAAATCTGGAACGAGATATATAGTACACGCAAAAGAGTGGCCGATTCATCCAATTCCCACCATCTGGGTTTTAACTATATCTAGGAAAAAATCGCCACTTTAATAGTGAACAATGGTGTCTCTCAGCTAGAACATACTGCTGCAACCATTTCAGTAGCTAATTTCAAAAACAATGGATTAAACAATTTATAGTGCGCCTTTTACGCTAATTGAAACCAAAAAGAAAACCAAAATTAGTAAAATTAAGTAGCCAAAAAAATAAAATTAAAATACATTTACAGCAAAACAACTTCAATTAACAAACTTTTTAATAGAACAACCAAAAAAAAAAACTCTTACAAATTAATTAATTAACTAGCCAACTTAATAAAATAAATTAATGAGAAAATGATTCCAAACAGAAATAATTTAATCAAAAATTATAATATATATTTTAAAAAAAAAAACTGAAAATATGATAGTTTTTTTTTGTCAACGTTAATAACTTTAGTTTTATTTTTACAATTTCCATCACTAATTGTTTCTTAATGCCCAAGGATGAAGGATCACATAGTTAATGAGTACTGTTTCGTTCATGAACTTCTCTTTGCCCTATCCAGAGCTGCTAAAACTATGTTTTACATACCGAGATTTTCTTTCCAATCGTGCAGTTTTCCCTGGAACATGTTGTAAACTGAACTAATCCAAATTGTCTGAGTTTGTTTGACAGATTTTTAACCGTATCAAAAATGCCTCTCCAACGTTCCAAGATTTTTAAACTGAACATGTTGTCAACTGAAATAATCAATAGTTGAATTTTTTTTTTTTTTTTTTTTTTTTTTACCACAAGTACATATTCGTTCCAAGTTCTAATCAATAAAACATATGATATGTATTTTTTGTATCCAATAGGCTTCTATGTAAAGATTTTTTTGTTCTTGTGTGGCGGATAAGCAAAAGCAGAATAACATAATCTCTTATCCAACTTATATTGCCACGTGGACAGATATAGTTGGTGAAGCAGATACTAATCTAATCTGAGCAAAACCAGTTGTGCTATTTGAAAACCACAAGTATTGGACCTTTGTTTCTTCTACCCTAACATAGCTCCTGCAGACCATAACTAAACAATCATCATTTTCTCTTGGTGACAGAAGAGAAGAGTTGAGGAACAGAGAAAATGGCAGCACAAGCACTTGTGTCTTCTTCACTTACCTCCTCTGTTCAGACAGCTAGACAGATATTTGGCTCAAAACCAGTTGCGTCTGCCTCACAGAAGAAGAGTTCCTTTGTTGTTAAGGCTACAGCAACTCCACCTGTCAAGGTACATGACACTCTCTAGTCTTTCACAGATCTCTCTCTATATGAAATGAATAATCTGATCTTGATTTTGTGTTTTGGTTTTTCAGCAAGGAGCAAACAGACCATTGTGGTTTGCATCATCGCAGAGTCTCTCTTACTTGGATGGCAGGTAATGTTCAAACATCTGTTGGATTTGATTCATTTGGAGAACTTCATGATGTTCAAAATTTGGACATGTTGTGATTCTTCTTGCAGCTTACCTGGAGACTATGGATTTGACCCACTTGGTCTTTCAGACCCAGAGGGAACTGGAGGGTTCATTGAGCCAAGATGGCTAGCATACGGAGAGATCATCAACGGACGGTTTGCCATGTTGGGTGCAGCTGGAGCTATTGCTCCTGAGATTCTAGGAAAGGCTGGTCTGATTCCACCAGAGACTGCTCTTCCTTGGTTCCAAACCGGTGTGATTCCACCAGCAGGGACATACACTTACTGGGCAGACAATTACACTCTCTTTGTTCTCGAGATGGCTCTGATGGGATTCGCTGAGCACCGGAGGTTACAAGACTGGTACAACCCAGGATCTATGGGAAAACAGTACTTCTTGGGGTTAGAGAAGGGTTTGGCCGGTTCAGGTAACCCGGCTTACCCCGGTGGACCTTTCTTCAACCCTCTAGGGTTTGGGAAAGATGAGAAGTCCTTGAAGGAGTTGAAACTCAAGGAGGTCAAGAACGGTAGACTGGCTATGCTCGCCATCCTCGGTTACTTTATCCAAGGACTAGTGACCGGTGTGGGACCTTACCAGAACCTGCTCGATCACTTGGCTGATCCCGTCAACAACAACGTCTTGACCAGCCTCAAGTTCCACTGAGGTGATCATCATCCTATGTGTTTTATGTCTCTTGTATCGTACAAATCTTTCTATCTTTCGCTACCATTGGCTTCTTCGTATTGTAACACCCTGTGTAAACATATTCGTGTTTTGTAAGAAATGACAATGTCAATGGCCAAACGAAAAACTTTTAGGATTAACAGTTGGTATTTGCAAGAATCAAGCAAACCGGTTTAGATATTTAAACACTGTTATGGAATTCTTTACTTGTGATGCTTTAAAGAGGTCTCATCTCAAAGAAATCTAAATGTGAGACATCTTATGGTTACAAACTTACAGATCACTCCCTTATGCATCATTTAGTGAACATATCTTGAGTTTTTAAAGCTAGCAGAAACCAAGGTATCAAAAAGAAACATATGATGGTTTTGAAGAACATATTGGAGTAAGTCGATTAGTGTAGGTTTGATGTAATGGAAAAACTCATTTCGCTTAAATTATATATTAGTTATCAATCATTAGAAAACATACGGTCTAGGGGACTTTTTGAATTACTGGTTATGTTAGCAAGTATAAATGAATAGTAAGTTAAGGTCATAAGTGTGTTACCATTATGTTTCAGTTAGTATCTCAAGATACCAAACACAGCAGAACCCAAAAGGTCCACGTACACCATCACAATCATATGAGTTCGCTGGAGCGTCAAAGTTCAATTCCCATTCGGAACAATCTTGGCGGCTCTTCTATCAACTCCCTGGAGGCATTCACAAGATCCAAACAGCTAACAGAACATCACCTCAACTCTTTGTAACCGTAGACTCTCATTCAGGCATTTCATCGAACAGTTCATGTGCATAAACCACAAGCGATAAGAGTACAAAATTTACTGTTTTTTAAAACTGTACTAGACTCTCATTCAGGCATTTAATTTGTTTAGTAGATTAAAAATATATATGATTTAATGTTTTTTATTTTTTAAATGTACAATTCTTATATCATAATATTTTTAGTGTATAATTACTATGTTTAATTTTTACTGTTTAAAAATATAGAAACAATAACATACAGTTCATTAAGTTAAAATCTAGATTATAACTATATAATTTAAATTTTAATTATATTTATTTTGTTAAAATTGTTTGTTTTGTTTAGTATTTAAGATAGTATAATTGTATTTTGATTGTTATATCTAGGATTTTACCCGTAGTATACAGTCTCGTATTACTATCGACCCAAACCTGTCCTACCATCTAATACCGTTCTGTGAAATTAAACATATCTAATGGATTTCACCCGTGGTATACCGTCTCGTATTACTATCGACCCAAACCCGTCCTACCATCTAACCCCGTTCAGTGAAATTAAACATTATTTTATTATTTTTGTTTTAATAATACTTTAATTTAAAAGATATATAATTCATATCAATTTAAAAGTTTTCTTTCAAATGGTTATTTAATTGTTGTAAATTTCATATATTATAATATTATAAATCCGTCGTATCATCTAATCCTGTTCGGTGAAATTAAACATTATTTTTTGTTTGAATAATACTTTTATTAAAACATTTATAATTCAAATCAATTTAAAGTTTTCTTTCAAATAATTATTTAATTTTTATAGATTTCACATATTATATATATATTCTAAACATTTTTTCCGTTAAATATTATAAATGTTTAATAAACTTTAAATAACTATAATATTTATCTTTCAATAAAATATAGTATTAACAATGTCCTAAGATTTCTCTTTTTCTTAAGTAATTAGAATTGATGGAAATATCTTATTATATAAAGTATGGTTTTCAAAGTTAATAACTCACGAGATCGTGACACGTGTCAAATTTTTCGATTTGAGATTTTGACATGTGTCAAATAAAATTTTCCTTTTAAAAAAAAAAAGAAAAATAAAAGGATAATTATAAATTTAAACAGTTTTAAATTGTAAAAATGCTAATTATAAGGAAATTGTACATATATTTCCATAAGAGTTTTTGCAATCTAGAAAACTATACATATATATAGAGAACTAGGGGAGGTCCCCGCGCCCAGCGCGGGGTTGTATGTTGATTAAGACCAGAATTAATAATTAATATTTAGGGTTATCAAGTTAGGGATATTTATTGAATTAATTTTGTCAAGAGTCTAATTTTTATAACGACATTAATATAGAATTATGGTAAAACGCTATAACTTTTGATATATATTATTAGTAATCAACAATTAATAATGTTTTTGAATCACAAACAATTATTAGTGTTTATATCTTGATATATATAATAGAATTAAATATAAAAAATCTATATATTTAAACCAACAATATATTAGCAACGCCCCGACCGCCACTGTCCATGGGTTCCCACGTCCAGTCTCGGTCTTTAGGCCCATCTTCTTTGTTTTGTCGTACTCTTGATTTTATGACATATTCATGCTTACTCGTTTCTTTCATATTAGCAACGCCCCGACCGCCACTGTCCGTGGGCTCCCCACGTCCAGTTTCGGTCTTTAGGCCCATCTTCTTTGTTTTGTCGTACTCTTGATTTTATGACATATTCATGCTTACTCGTTTCTTTCATATTTGTAATGCCACGACCGCCACTGTCTGTGGGTTCCCACGTCCAGTTTCGTTCTTTGAGCACATCTTCTTGGTTTTGTAGTACTCTTGGTTTTATGACATATTCACGCTTCCTCGTTTCTTTCATATTTGTAATGCTCCGACCGCCACTGTCTGTGGGTTCCCCACGTCCAGTTTCGGACTTTAATTTGGGCCCATCTTCCTGGTTTTTGTTGTATTCTTGATTTTATGACATATTCATGCTTTTAGATTGTATGTCACTGGAGTTTTTCGTAGTTGGAAACAAATAATTGAAAAATATAATCTCTTACCATATCTCTTACCTATCAAGTAAGTCATCTTGCTCTTTGAAGTAGTTATGTACGTAAAATTTCAATGGTATAGAAACAGGCATCTCTTTTGTATATATCGTGTCATATTTATCGTCCCTATTGTAGTATCTTTGTCTCTACCTTCGCCATTGGTCGCTGCGTAACCCTTCAGTTGATCTCTTGTTTATAAAACCCATATAAAAAGTTGTAAGAGAAATATCATTTTCTTAACTGTATCGT